GAGAGTAAATTGGATCTATCTGAGTTAATATTTATGTGACACACAGTTAAACTGCATAGCAATGACAGTCAAACATGACTCCCATATGCCTATGTGGCAAATCCAGGCAGAATATGCTTTATTCATTTGTATGGGTTCCTTGTGTGTCAGGAAACTTGGATGATTCCAGGGAGTCTCACAGTCTCTGCTCCAAGCCACTAACAGCAAGGGGAAACCATAGCTCCCTTATAAGTCTTTTCTTGTCAGTAGCATGTACAGTATACTGCATAAACATCTCCGGAAAACTGAGTAGAACTGAGAAAGTTTGGTATAAAACTTTCCTAAAATCTACTAGGTTAATTTCAAGACAATATTGCCGAATAATCAAAGATCTTTCCAGAATGATCAAGTACAGAGGCCTGGGCTATTCCATATACAGACATGTAAATGAGTAAACACATTTATATTCATATATATAAAATTTAATCAATGTTCCCAGTAGACATTAAAAAAGGATAAAAAAAAAGGATGCAAGTCAGAAATAGGAAAATATTTTATAACTAAAAAGGATCTGAAATACATCAAGACACTAAAAAAAAAGTTTCTCCACATCACATGGAAGAAAAACAATAATTAAATAACAAGATGAGAAGCAAATTACATGATGGAATTGAGAAATAAAAGCAAATGGAGAGAAGATAATATGAGTTAACAGGAAGGATATCATTTCCCCTATATCAGGGAAAAATGGAAAATCAGTTGTGATGATAAAGGTTATAACTGATGTTCATACATAATCAGGGAACAATAGGAGACTAATTTATTCAAGAACAAAAAAAATGCATATGTATACACACATATAATTTAGCTATACTTAAGAGACATAGTATACTTTCTATGTTTGGTAGATTACAGGAAACTTACTGCTTAAAAAGGCATTCTTCCATTCTCCAATATATTCCCACAATGTCACTGAAAACAGTGAAGAATTAAAATGCTAACTTTTTATTGAAGAAAAAAGGTGGATGCTTTCATTCATTTCATTTTAGATAGTGTGGAAAGATTTCATTTAAAATCCCATATATTTTAATGGTTTACTATACAGAAAAATACAGTCACAGATTCAGTTGGCCTGACTGCTGAAAGCTTTCATATAGACGCATGCTGTTCTGAGTATTTCTGCACAAATTTAGAAGGAGGCTTTGCAAATATTTTTTTTTCTTTTCTTTTTCTTTTTGGGGCAATGGGTATTATCTTTCAGAGAAGACTGTGAATTATCTATGGATCCCAAGAAACATAGCCATGTATAATGTATTACAATTAAACTCTTAAAATTAGAACCAGACCTATAAGGCATAAAGGTGAACGGAACTTGACTGACTGCATAATTAGTATTTCAGATCCCTGTATAGTATATGAATAAATTTAGGGGCTGAGGTCCAAGTAGGTGACCTGGAAAGTTCTTATCTCAGTGCCTAGATAATCTGGAAAGCGCTTACATATCACAATGTGTCCTCAGTATTTAGACCAGTAAAGCTATAGGCATCACACTGCACTTAGGCTATAAGTCCTCAGAGGTATCTCAGGTTGTGAAACCAGAGAAAACCATGTGTCATTTTCACCAAAACACACAGATAATGATGACAAGCAAGCAACAAACCTGATTGCTCATGCAGTCATTTTCTCCAATCTCATATGAGTAAAGACAAAGCTGCAAAATCTGAGAGCAGTGAACATAAAATTGCTTTTTTTTCCCATCACCTTTTATACATCGGCATCATGTTCCTTCTTATTTCATCTTCTTATGACTCTGTCAGTTTTGTAATCTCTTATGCGGTGATACACTTGCAGAGAAATGGGAAACACTCTTGCTCAGTCTATTCTCTAAGAAGTGAGTTTGTGTTTCAGTGAACTGAAAACAAGGGTAGGAAATTCAGATTTCCTATTTCTGAGGTAAATTCTCTAAAAAGAAGAAAAAGAAAAAAAAAGTGTAGTTTCTTTCTTCATATATATTTCACAGCATATTCTGAAAAAAAAAATCAATCTTACTTACAATTATCTAACTGAAGGAAATGCTCCCAGGAATGGAATATGTTGCTCTGAATTGAAAACTGGATTTCAGAATTAAAACTGAAGTTTTACATTATCAGCTTAGGTGCTAACTTCATCCCTTCCAGTTCTTCTAAAGCCTATACAGTTTCAATGTGCAGAGATGCTTTAATTGCTACTCTGCTTCGCTTTTCAGAAAAAAAAGAACAATGCATAATGAATTTCACATATCCACCTGGCATTAGAGAGCATATTGTCAATTAGTGTCTCATATTTTTGCACTTGCTTATCCTGCACATGTTTGGATAAGCTTTTTTTTTTTTTTAAAAAAAAAAAAAGGTCTAATGCCCTCACTTCAAGACATATTACAGTTTAGTTATGTGGAAACTCAACTACCCTTGTCAACAGTAAATTTAAAACTGTATGCTGAATGTTGAAGTGAGGTAGTCAGGTAAACATACAGTTATGCAATCACAGTGTTCATAGAGAAGGAAACATTTCACAGTTGATTTTGAAACATAGTAACGGAGATTAACATTCAGAGATACTGGCAATATGACATCAAACATGAATGGAAAACATGTTATAAGAGCAGTCAGCCTTTAACAGTTTTCATGAGTTTCATATTTTGAAAACATTGCTAAGCTAAAAACCATTAAATTCTATCTGCAATTTTGTTTTACATTTATTTTTGTGAACTTATTTCATGTCATAAATGCAAATAAAGCATGCTCATTTAAACATAGTTTTGCTCTCAGAAAACTACAAGCTGAACAGCCATAATTTTTCTAGAATTATGTCATATGTGTCTCAGCCATCTCCGATATAAGCCGTCCTCTTCCAGTAATACATGCCATGCTATTGTCTGTAGTTTTACTTTTACTTTCATACTATACACCTACTAGATAACACTCATTTTGAACAACTTTATTTGGGAACCAGAATAAATTCTAAAATTAATATTTATCATCTCATTCTTGCTCAGTGACAACAAAGTACCAGTGCATGATGGAGTGCAATCACACTCTAAATTGTGGACCATATTTTTATTTTTGCACATAATTATTCTGCATATGTAAGTTGACTTCTCAGTCATTATAAAATTCAGGATTCAGGTTATTTTTATAGTCATTTTCCTTCCTTTGGGATGCTCTGCAACTTTCATTTATTTAGTAGCAACTTAGTTGTGACTCACCAAATTATCCAAGGAAAGTTTATTGTATATTGATATAGAAGTTTACAGTAAGGAAGTGATGTTATAATACAAAACTAATAGAATACAGATACTGTAAATTCTAATTTATTTATCCTTTTAAAATTTCAAAAATATCTTCCAAAATTCTCTACATATCTAACCACTTCTATGCAAGTGTTATTGTTTGTTTTGTTTCCTGGTAAGTAGCACAAGAAATGTTCATTTGTACATTTATTCATCCATATTTATCCAAGAACTAGTATCTTTTTTTTTTTTTCATAAAAATCACTTTACAAAAAAGTACATAGTTGGATATGGCAATAATTTTAGCTTTTTAATGCATATGTTAATGAAATTCAAATGAATAAAAAGAGCACTTGCCTAGGACAGTTATCACACTATAAAAAAGTCCTGTTAACAGAATGATGCAGTCATTAGTACACACTATAAAATTAAATGTCTGTATTATTACTAATTATATATAAATAATGAACATATTTAAAATTCACAGTTATGCGATGGAAAATATGCATGCATTTAACATCACTTTGATGAAACTGGTATAAATTATAGATAAGATACACTGAAAACAGTGAGACAAAAAACATACTCTCCATACTGCCTAAGTGATTCAAAATATAATTTATTAGTCAATAGTATTAATTAGTATGAGCAACTACTTCTGCAATATGTAGTATCCTTTGCACATATGGAATATATATACAGTCTTGCTAGTCGCTATTTGTTGTTTTAACTTTACATCTCTCCCGATTAAGGATATTGTCCATTTTTAATTGAAGTAAATGGGAAAATTTAGACAGAGTTCAAAGTTTTCCATTATAGTTCAATAAATATAAAGACACATGTTTGGTTTGAGACTTAAGTACTGTACATAATATACATAACATCTGTACATATGAGTAAAAGACCTGATACATTGGAAATTCTCTCATTAGCTTCAATGGCTTTTAATCAGTCATTTTAAATATATTATATCAGAAAACTACCTAAATTCAGATCTTTCAGTTTCTGATATTCCTATATCTGAGAAGTCTTTGCATATACCCCATTGCAGCGCATAATGGAACAGGCTCATATTATGCTTGTGTCTCTATTATATACATGCAATAAACATTACACATGGATTTGAGCAGGTTGACAGTGAAACTTGGTTTGCTTTTTTGACAGTGGATAGAGGTGTCTCTTCACTGTCAACAGCAAAAGCCTGCTCTCATTGCAACATGGCTCATCTATCTAATCACCCAGGGCAAAATGTGGTGAATGTGGTGTATTTGCAAATATTCAGCAAAATACATTTGTACCTAACGTCGTGAAAATGTACTTTCTCATATGTTGTCACCTATCCAAAACACTGAATGAAAGAAGATGTTGCATATAGGCAAAACTAGATGAGGAAGGGAAAAAAAAATAAGAAAGAAAGAAAGAAAGAAAGGTCATCTTTTAGGCCTTTTTCTCTTCTCAGAAGAGCCAAGTGGAACTTTTAACCCCTATTTTTTTTCAAAGTGATGCACCAATTTTACTTCCCTTTACTTTTCTTTCTGCATTAAAGAAAATGTTTTACCAAGGCCTTCACACATTTCTTTGAAAAATTGAGATCAAGATAGTGATACACAGGGTGGTTCTGAATGAAACGTCCTTTCTGATTTTAATGGAATTTATTTATCTTTCATGCTTATGCCAAGAAAGAAAGAAAGAAAGAAAGAAAGAAAGAAAGAAATTGATTTTTTTCTTTGAAATCATTATGGAATATCTCAGTCCTTGAGAAGTTAGGAAGAAAATATTACTTAAACATATGCTCTTTCTGTTGAAGCAGAATTTCAGGAAACTCTCTATCACTAGATTTTGTCTCAAGGACTTAAAAGTATGTTCCTCAGACCCAACTCAGCTGTAGACTGGCCAGTGTAGCAGAAAAAGCCATTTGCTATGGAAGCCTATTAAAAGTGAAATAATTTCTGCAGTGGTAAGTTGTAATAAGAAGACTTGGATGCGTTTTCCTTTTCTCATACAGACTACTTAGCCAAATTCACTTGAGAATTGTTGAGATCTATTCTCTCTTCCCTGTTCAATGTGAGAGACTCAGACACTTGATGACTTATCTCTACTCTTTGCTGTCACTATGACTACAAAAATATAGGCATGCATGTTCATCTATAAAAATATATCTCACTAAACTTATGATGCAAAGGTATAATTTAACACTACAATGAATCTATTCATGCTGAACACTTGTAAACTACTTTTGTTTTTGTTTTTGTTTTTGTTGTTGCTGTTGTTGTTGTTTTAAATCTTCCTTTTTCTGTCTTTTCTCCCCAGCTGTGAAATTTAATCATGTAGGCCTAAAATCTTCAGTATGACTCGGCTGCACCATGGTCAATATTTTTTCGCCTATGAACAGTGTAGTCACCCAAAATCAAGCAATTCAAATGCTTTCATGTATTACATTTTTCAAATATACTCTTCATCTAACACCACTTGCTGGACTTGATTGACACCTCAGGGCCTCAATAGACTATTTTAAGGTTTTAATTTCCTACGCGATCCTTGATTCCTGATAACTAAGGTGTTCAGTATTTGTGTTACATAAGCATGACCCGAACACAGACACTTTTGTAATACGATTTCACTTATTTTCTTGAGAATAAGATGCTCAAGAGAAAGATAAGTGTGACAGAGAAGCCTTCTCTTTCTGCAAGCAGCAAAAACTTTTGATTCATCCTTGCACAAGAATCTAGGTAAAGCACATCGAAGGAGTTGTGTGTCACATTTATTGCAATTCACCTACTCAAATTTAGGTATTTCTATACAAATGAAGCAGAGTGCCTAATATCTCATGGTTAATTCATACCTAGGTATGCTCTGACTACTCACAAGTAGGCATGAGGGGCATGTGGAAGGATGTCCCCAGCAGACTTTCGTATGGCACCTGAGGCCAATGTGCAAGCAACTGGCTTCTGCCTCTTTACTCAAGGAACAGAACCTATTATTGATCTTCATTTCATCAAAGCAGTGCTCAATAGTGCTCATGCCTTGATTAGGAGACTCTTTTTTTTTTTTTTTTACTCTCTCTTAGCCCAGCAAAGTACATGTTTATAGCAAAACATGTCTGTTTCAATCAGATTACACTGGTCAAGTTTTGAAACTAAAAGAAATTGATGGGAACTAGGGAACAAAATAAGGATAAGCCTAAGAGAATACTAGGAACACAAGATATTAAAAAATAATAAATGAAGCAAAAATAAATTGGCCCGGGCTTTCAATTGAGTGAATTATTTTTACTTAGTTTCTCTGTCCAATGCAGTCAGTAGGAGCCAATTGCTCATCACTTATTTAAATGCCTGTGTAATAAAATAATATGAGGCCTTCTTAAATGAAAAGTAAATCATTTCTGAACATTTTATTAGTGTTTTCCTTGAAATTTGACTTTCCTAGGGAACATTGGAATGATCCCCTGAAGGTCAATACCTCACAATACCTCAGACTATTTTAGCTTAGTCTCCCAGTTTTACATGTGTTTCCTCACTAAATTAAAACTGTGTCTGTGTATCATCACCATTCCACTACTAAAGATCAATACTGAAACAAAGAAGTGAAATGTTTAATTTATAAATGCTAATAGTCCTAGGTCTTCACTGGGCCTGTCTGTCCTTCTGCATATTTCTGTGTCACCTCCTGAGTGAACTGAGTAACTCAGGAACACTTTAAAAAAAAAAAAAAAAAGTGAAATTTTAGTCTTTTCTTTGTAACAGTCATCTCTGGCTCCTCAAACTTAATTTTCTTTTATGCTAGGAAGTAAATCTTATATCTTGAAAATAATAGAGTTTCATCACGGTCCAGGAAGGATAATATGAAGCTGCATCAGCAGCTAAAAGACAGGCAATTCCATTTTCATGGCATAAGTCAAATATAGATTTAAATATTTGTGGAAGAAAATGGTGAATGTAGAGCCTAGGAAACTTTAGTTAAACATAGCAAGGACTCATCAAATTATAAAACCATTATGAAAGTGAATATAATAAACATAAAAATCACAAATGAGTATCTCCAATAGAGGAAAAATATAGAAATTTTTATGGAAAGACAAATAAGTCACTAATTTCTGTTTCTGGAACTTGGTATAATGTTGAATTTACAAATGTATAAGTTTAATCTAGCTAGAGAAAAGTAGTGTTATCAGCAGCAAACAATATTTATTTAAGATACTTCAAGTTACTCTTGTGAAAAAGTAAGTTAACCACATTTGCAAATAGTATGGGCAGTAGGAGAACAAATAATAGTATCTGAAAAGATTTCAAGCTTCAGATGACACATTTACTACAATAGAATAATTTTGGAAATCAGTTGTGTCAAATTATACTTACTCATGCTGAAGTATTATCAGATAATAGTTGTAGACTACTGGAAGGCCTTCAGCTTAGACAAATGCATTAAAATTAAGCTCTGAGTCATTTGATAATAAACTCATGCTGATTTTTTATGGCATAGGTGTCCAGGTAATATTAATATTAGCGCAAATGTACTGAGAGGTATATATTTCTGAGTCAGATATTGAATACAAAACAGAATTAAATTACACATACACTTTCTCATTTATCTACCAGGAAACAGTTAGTACAAATGTACTTAGCATAAAAGCACAGTATCCCTACAACAGCAAATGCATCTGTAAATTTTTGCCACTTCAATTTTGTTCTGATTTGCAGCTCCATGGGCAATAATGAAAGCAGAATGTAGTAAGATTTGACAACATAGAATAAAAACAACAAAAATGTACTTGAAAGAAAAGCTTAACTTTTCTCATCAGTTAATTTTTCTCATCTTACTCCATCAAATACTGTGAAAAGACTGGTTTGTTTGAGCATGTGCACCTGAAGTATTTACAACTACAAAAAAAAAAAAAAAAGGAGGGAGGAAAAAGAGCAGTTTGATTTTTTTGGACCTAGAAATTAAATATTACAGTTCTTTATTAAGGATGACTTGTAAGACATTTTTCTGGTCTTGTAGGAGCATTGTATGCAAATCATTATTTGAGTGTCCTCCCACAGACAAGGGTTTCTAGCCAGAAAAAATAATAAAGGTGCCCAATTATCTATTAAAGAATTCAGATGCAAATATTGTTATAAACATTTCAGGGTGCTGCAGTTTTCAGTTATAAAGAGACTTGATTGGACTCAGAAAACTTCTGCATGTATTGGTCTGGAATTCCATTGATTTATTAAAATATTCTTTCCACAGCTTTACCAAGGGACTTTTTCAAAGTGGTACATCTAGCAGCTGGCAAAGACAGCCTCTCAGCCTCTCCACTCACAGTCATAACCATGGACATTTAATTATTTCCTAAAACAAAAATTCTGTCAAAATTTTGTCTCATGTTGTTCTTTGGTTTGTTTCAATTGACATGCTTTTTGGTATAATATGGTGTTCAAACATAAATGAACATAAATATCAAGAAAAATGATAAATCAGCTCAAGAATAAATACTAGCTGGATAGTTACATATGTTTATTTTGAGCTGCATAGTTACTGGTGTCGAGGGAGGAACAAAAGAGGGACAGAACTACTTTCTGCATACTTTGATAACTTATTATTAAAACATTCAGAAAACTCACTTGATTTTTCCTGTTAAACTTAATGATGACTGTATCGAGTTCATGTCTACCTGTCTATGAATTTCCTTCTTTGTTTGTTTGCTTATCTTCTCAGTAGAAAATGGACAAATAATTTACTTGGTTTGAAATTAGGCTCAGACAGATATAAGATCTAAGTCTCTCAGGGGCATGTCCTGCCTGCATGACATTTTTTGCAAGATCGAGGCATTAACTTGCAAATAAGTGTATGGAGAATGCATATGTGCATGCTGAGTCTCTGTACCAAAAACCCTAACATGCTTTTTTCTCTAATGATGTGAAATATATTTTGCCTTTTACTGAGATAATAAAATGGATTAGGCACTATTGAAGGTTAGTTGACAGCATAATTTATAACCTGTACTATAAAATGAAGCTCTTTGATTAGCTGGATTCAGAAACCCATTTGAAAATGTCATTTTGCCTTGTGTTTATAGGTCTTTAAAACAAAAATAGATACTTTTATATGTTAAGAATTGTGCTTTTCAGTGAGACATATGCTGTGGTTAGGCTGTGGAACAGTTTTCAGGGATTTAAATTCAAAATAATTGAATGAAAATTATAAATTTGGCAGTTAACTTGACATAAAGAAAATCACTACGAAGAGAAAATTTTGAACAGAATTTTAAATGTTAAAAAGTTCTACGATTTATTCTATCCAAGTTATACCATTATCATCTTAAAAAAAAAAAAGTTTCAGACATGCTCAATTCGAAACCAAATAAATGTTCCCAATAAAGCTGAAATCCTTAATTTGTTATAACTTATTTTTGTCTTCGCTAAAAGAGTATCTCGAGAGAACCAGATGAAATATTTAGACACATTAATGTGGATGTTTTCCCTTGTGTGCTACAATTCCATCCCTTTGGGGCCCATGTAGAAGGGCTAACATGTCTCTTTGAAGAGCCAGTGTGGCATATTGGAATATACTAGCCCATTGCACTTATTAATGTGTAATGAACAGAAATGAAAGAATATGTTAGCCTATTGCACCTAGTAATGAATGTCCAATGAGCAGCAATAAGTAGATAAATAAGAAGGAATAAGTTCCCAACACTCTGTAAACCTTTCTGCAAGTAGATCTCTAGTGAATTCATGCTATCCCATTCTCTTTCTTTTATACAAATACCCTGTTTTTTTTCTGAGATACAAATCCTACTTACTTTGATAAAGTTCTTTTAGCAATGTATTATCTTGTTTTCATTATCAAGAGCAAAATATAATCAAACAAAAATTCACCAAGATAGATGGAATTTTCCTTTGTATATAAAACTAAATATTCCCTTAGTAGTACTTAAAAAAATGTAGAAATGCAATTATGATATACACAGGCAATTGTAGGTGCCTGTCTAATAAAGTCTGACTTCTGAAACATAACACAGCATGATATACTTTGAAACAATGCACATGCATTATTTCTAATTTAAATATTCATGGCACAACAAAAGCATTGTCATGATCTCTTGAGATTTTTTTCCCATCAATCAAAATAGACATTTATTTGTCTGAACATATTTAGGACCTGATCCTGAGAACATGTGAGCCCATGGCCTAAGCCTCAGGAGCAATGTTCACAGGTGACACTTTACCTTCTTAAAATGAAATAGAAGCAGGATACATAGATAGTAATCCTCTCCTCTCCTCTCCTCTCCTCTCCTCTCCTCGAATAGATAACCTGTTTGGGATTGCTTCACCAGCCCATATACACAAGCATATACTATATTTTAGCTATATTTTTCTTCATTAAAGGGAATCTCATAAATTTCTTGAGGGTCAGGAATGAATGAGACTCATATCAGTTCATATTCTCATTTCTTATGAAGACATTCGAGTTTCTTAAAAAGACATTTCTCTTTTGAAAAAAATAAGTCTAAACTGTACCTCGGAGATGCGTCTGAAAAGATTCAGAGTTAAGGATAGAACCTAAGTTTTAAGAATCAAGGATTCATTGTTTTAGGAACTTTACTGAAATTCAGACCTTTTTCTTTTCCTCTCTGAGATACATTGAAAAGGAAATATTATTAGATTTTTCCTCTCTGCTGCTAATGTCTGTTTCATGCATATCTCTAAATCTCTAACGACAACAGATAAATGAGTGTGAAAATATTAAGAACTGTTATGTGTCTTGCAAATGCACAGCACAATATGTAACACATAAAAGGTATTGTGCTGCCATGTGCCAGATCCAACTAAGGAATGAATAGGGTCTGGAAATGGAAGTATAGTAGTCCTTCAGAGGCATATACAAAATAGATCAGCTTGCCAAATTATTTTGTACAACTAACAATACATTATGAAGTATAGGTATGATCGAAATAAAAGACAAGTATTTCCTCTAGTCAGAGGAAAATACAGTATGTTATAAAACTTACACAGGTAATAGTGACAGCCAAAGCCAACACTTTCAAATGTAAATGCATAATGCTACACTTCTGGATGGATATTTGTGAGACCTAAGTGTACTAAACTGTTGAACACCTACAAATGTCTATAGTTTTATGAAGAGTGAAAGTAGTAAAAGTAGATGAAATTAAACATGTATATATATATATACATATATATATATATAATTAAACACAAAGTCTCCCTTTAAATATCAAATTACAGGTTCTTCCAGCCTAATATTCAGCATTTCTGCTAGTATCTCACCTCCAGTAAGATCAGTCTTTGGCAAAGACTCTCCCATTTTCTATCTCTATTGACCACATTTGATAATAAAAACTTGCCTGTATATTTCTAATTCTTTATTTCGAACATATTTGTTTCCTCTAGTTTTCCTATATTTCATCAAAGGATAATTTCAATACTTTTGAGATGTCACTCCCTAATTCCAGGTGTAGAATCATCATTTGGTTTTATGAAGTCTGCCTATAGGCTCAAACTAGTTTCTGAAGGGAATATATATATATATATATTGAAAGCTTCATAATTTACATATTTCAAAGCTTTCAAAGTAAGTCCTGTGTTCTGTGATCAGATTCATAATTGAAGCAAGAAAACACTGGAAATTCATATATAATTTATATTACATGACAATTCCTGTGTACAGATTATGTGCAAATAAAAACGTAACTTGGCAGAAAGAAAAGAAAAATAATATAATATAATATGTTTTTTTAAAAAAAGATTTAAAGAAAATTCCTGGATAGGAGTCTTGAACCAACTGATAGGTCATTAGTCATCTATCTTTGTTATGTAGGTGCCTAAACAGAGGTTCCAGTGACATTTTATTTGTCCTGGAATAGGGTGCCTGACCTCCAACTGCCTCTCCAGAAGAAGATGAAGCTGTCATAGATCCAACGTCATATCTTCCAGTGTCATAAAAATTTTTCAGACATCTTAGATGGTATACACCTCCACTAGGGACCTACTTGACTCCATTTGTTTCACACATCAATATAAATCAGATCTCTTTTCTCTTTATGTGTTTATATACTACTCTTACCCAAATAGGAAGAATTAACTGGCTTCTGATTAAACTCCGTTTGTGTACCCTCTCTAGCATTTTCATAAGTGTATTTTCTCCAGTTCGAAACAAATGTTCCAAAAATTATATTAATATAATTCAACATTGAGATTCAATTAAGAGCAGGATCTAGTGGACAAAGATTTTCCCACCATTACCATTCTTGCATTACTTTCTCTGAACACCCTATTTTTTTCAATATGCAAGTACTACAGGACCATAGTATGGATATGTTCAAGCAAACAGAGTATTAACTTTGATCAAGGCTTCATTTATGCTAATTTTACATTAGATATTTACATTTCTACTGTTAGAAAAACTTCATTTTTTTTATTTGAATGTCAATTTATAGAAATATATATCAAAGTAAAATCAGATTATTATATTTTGTTATCAAAATTGTCTAAAACCAGATTTATAGATATATAATATTCTAAAGGCATGTTAAAGTATTCTTATGTAAACATTAGCAGGAAGAAAGTGGTTATGGAAAGAGAAGTTACATTTGTTCTATATAACCAGCAATTTATGATGTATTCATTTGCTTTTTCAACAGTAATTTCAATATCTTTTTTTTTTTTACTTTTCTCAATTCCTTTATTAGCCTTGTTATGATTTTTGAATTATACAGTATTGTACAGAGACACAGCAGTGAGTTTTTTTTTTTATATTTTTATTTTAGTCTTGCCTAAATAAATACATATGGCCTGAAAGTTCAGAAACAGTTCAGACTTGGAATGCAAATTTCATTTTTAAGGCAAAGCCAAGGTTTTACACTATGACTAATGCCTTATTATCATAATTTCTGCTGAACTGACAGGGCAAAAAGTCTTCCTTCGTATTTTTGAAGACTTATTTACATATTTCAATTGATTTTCCACATAACTGTTTCACAATCCTAATAAATTGTTAAAAATATAGCACTCAGTTTAGAAAGTTACACAAGGATCTACCCAGTCATTTACAAATGGCTTGTTACACGAATTATGTGATAGAATTCAAGCTTGAAAGTTTGCTTTGATAGATTGGGAAATGAGAGAAAAGTTAACGAACTGAAACTATCCTACCATTCTGTAGGGCAATTCAGTGAAAAAATTAATAGCACGCTGAACATGATGAGCAAGATATTGTGATGACGAACATAGCAGTCATGTACCAGTTGGTTTGAAATATTCTATTAACACACAAAAAATAAAATTTACTTACAAAACTATGTTGATATGCCTAATTTGCAAGGAATCCATGTCAATTAGTAATGAAAACTTGAGCTGTTTTTGTTTGTCACGCACAGACTGCCTAATGTAGTGAAAAATCCAGCATGAAATTCCTCATTCTGCTTCACCCTTCTCAGACTTCTCTTGAAATGAGAATTCTATTTCAGTACAGTGTTTCTTTGGGGGAGATGTTTTTTTTTTCCAAATCATTTTCTATGAATTATGTACGGTGGTTATGTTGTACAGCCTTGCTCACGAGAGACAGAAGCCAGATGACAACATTTATTTTATTTAAAACCATAGCTGGTGTTTCTGAAGCTAAGAAGCTTGGAACAATTCATTCTTGTTTTAACTTTGTTTCCTGTAATCTTTCAAATCTATTTGAAGATAGCAGGCTGTGTCATCAATAACTATAAATCCTAAAATAGCTTTACTGACTTTAACAAAGATATTGATTTTATACTTTGCTTCCGAACCTTGCAAGGAAACTTCTTAATGAGTGTTGACTCTTTTTAGCAATTTGTGCTTTAGTCTATCCATGCCTCCACTCATCCTTTTCACAACAAAAATTATTTTCGTAAGAAATTTATAGACTTCCTCATCATAAATTTTTGTGCAATAGTTTGCAATTTTGTGTAATAAACACAACATTAATGAAAGAAAGGAGGAAAATAATATTTTCACTAGCTGCCAAAAGTGCAGCTTCTTTGGATTTGACATGACTCTTCTGCCTATATGAGTTCTTCCTGAGATAGGAAATTACTTTGATGACTACTTTCATATTTTTGTGTTCTTGATATCTCTGAGAGATTCAGGACTAAAATTTTCACATCTTGAGAGAAAGGAAAATAACAAACAAACAAAAAAGCAAAATATTCCAAGAATCAAACATGTCTATTCTCCCTACATCTTGGAGTTATCACACTCCTGAGCATGAGGGACCTGCTCTTTGGGGTTGAAGAATTCAGTGCCGTGCGAGGCCTGTGCTTCTCCCCAGTGCTACTGTCTTTCTGGATGTGCAGGCCACTGAGGAGAGCAGGCAGAATCCAGACACTGGGGTCCTCCCTTCTCCACTGTGGAAAATCAATGGAACTATACCAGTTTACAGCAAAGGAATATATGGTCCAGGCAAAAGACTCAAATTGCAGAATTAATTTGAGCAAATGTAGCTGTTTATAGTTGTAGGTATATATTTAGACAAGGTGCCCTAGATTCCTATTAAGGTCAATCAAAAGAAATAAAACTTTTAAAGTGTGCTTTTTCTCCTTCTAAAAACGGATATGATTTATTTAGAGATTAAGACTTCTAAATGTAAAATCTAAATATGAGCTCAGTATCTAAGTTCCAGTTGCAGTCAGTATAAATCTTGTCCTACACAAAAACAGTTGGTACCATTTGTCATCACAAATAAATATTCATGGCACTGGACCTACAAAAGATCTGCAACCCTGTAGAGGGTTAGCTAAAGGCCAGACTGGGCACTCCAGGAAACTCAAGTTGATAATAACCTTTAAAACTCCATTTTGGGTGTTTAGTTAAGCTGAACTGAAACTCCTTCTAGTCTCTACTGACCAGGCATTTAATGATTGTGCTAAGATCTCAGACGCTTAGCTTGCAAGTATCTAAAAAAAATGTATTCATCTAAATTCAGGTATCTCAGCCTGGAGTTGAACTCAAATGTATTCTGTGAGTGTTACAAGTTCCCATTTCTCCTCAATGACTCTGTAGAAGACCAAAGTGGACTTGCTCAGTAGGAGGAATCTGTGCTTCAATATCAGAAGTTCAGTAGAATTAATTTACTGGATTTCTGCCTCAGAATGTAATGTAGAAACAAATCTCAGTAGCCACATCTATCAATCTGGTGAGCATAACCTATGACCCAAGAAAATGTGATCACAATTGATCTAAACTGAACTGCAGAATCCATGCATGAGAGAAAAAAATGATTTAATACCCAGTTTCTTGGCTTCTATCCTAATACTGGTGATTTGACTTGTCAATTAGTGTCAGATGTGGTTAATTGATTTGTGTGTCTTATGAACTCTGCTTAAAATGAGACTCATTCCACAAACTCAGAGACTACAAAGAAGCCCACATTGATAACTTTCTAAGACTACCGAATTAAATACTTAGCTTGCTTTTCATACAAAGAGAGATTTGGTCCTAGTCATTTTCATCTTTCTCTTTTATTCATTGATACTTATTTCGCTGGACTGGTATGAATAAGTGAAGCAAGATTTTGCCCTATATATTGAAATACAATTCTGCAATAATTGCCTTTGAAAAAGTCTTACTCTGATATCATTTGTAAATTGATGATGAACTCCTAAAGCCAACTGAGAGACACCTTTAAAAATAATGAGTTACCATCAGTAACAGGTAAATATGTATTTCAGTCTATATCATAAGATTGCAACAAAGATCATCAATTGTATCTGTAATATTTTGGGTTTTTTTTTAATAAACTGTGATTTAACATAAGAAAGATCATTAATATCCCAAGAATACTCCTTTGCTGCCTTCCTAAATGCATGTATTTTTAATAATAAGTTCTGCTCGGAGGCAGAATGAGATTCTTCACACCTAACTAGCCATATAAGAATTAAACACCTTAGCTTTCCTCAGCCTTAGCAACTGCAATTCAGCTACAGACTGAAACAGCTAACTGACTTAACATGTTCATAATATAGCCACTACATTTCAGTCAGGAAACGCTTAATTTGGCTAAATTATGATACACTAAAGTGTCATACCTGGACTTCAGCTGCCAGACCTACAGATAAAATGTTTTCAGATACTTAAAGACTGTGAAGCACTGCCACAAGGTGTGAGCAACCCAAACAGAGTTAAAGCTTCTTTTGGAATACAGACTCAGATGTCTATCCTGAGTTCAAAGAGGATGAGATTATATTCTAATGCCATTGTGCATAACTACAGTCATTTAAGTAAAATCTACTGATCTATTCTAGTAGTTTTGTTAAGACACAGTTGCCTCATAGTTTTACTATGTTTTTAATTAAATATTAATAAAAAATTGTCATATTCTTGGCAATGCCAATCAAAACCAGAGGCAGGG